CAGGCTGAGCAAGCCATGTGAAGTGAGCCAGTGAGCAGCACCCCTCCACGGCCTCTGCATTAGCCCCTGCCTCCAGGTTCCAGCACTACTTGAGTTCCTACCTGACTTCCTCCAATGATGGACTATGATCTGGAAGCGTAAGCCAAATAAACCCTTCCCTCCCAACTTGCTTTTTGTTCATGGTATTCCATTGCAGCAATGGAAACCCTAAGACCTCTTTTCTCACTATCCACACACAACCCATCACCTCGTGTTCTGAGATGGAGTTAGGAGGCAGTTCAGTCAAATACTTAAGAAAACACACATTTGAAGCCAACTTCTAACTCTGTGCTCCCACTAGAAGAGGTCTAAGCATCCAGCACCATCCTTTCTGGTCGATGGTCCCAGTGACCCGGGAGAAGAGAATGGTTGATGAAGTCAGCATGCCGACATCAGTACCAGACTCCCCAGCACTTACTGGCTGGCTATGTTTTGTTAAGTCACAGAATGTCTCCAAGCCCCCTTGAAACCAGCCCAACTGTGACACCTGGCGGGGACAGTCAAGCAGCATGGCTCAGTGCAGATGCTATGGCCTTAAGTGACAGCAACCTTAGGAGCCCTTTGTGTATCTGTGTGTATGAGGTGAGCACGCACACAGGAACTCGTTCTTGTGATGACCCAAGAGGATGTCTGTCAAAAGTCCTCAGCCATGTCAGCTAGTCTGTTGCAGCCACTGAGCCAGGATTTAATTATCCCCTCCTCTCTAGCATCAGAACTACAGGCATGTACTCCCCCAACCCCAAACCCCACTTCAGGGACTCGGGTCCTTACGCTTTTATAGCAAGTACTACTGCCTGAGCCACTTTCCAGGGTCTACAGCTCTTTTCTGTTCTGAAAGGACCAAGGTATAAACCAAACTTTCCTGCACACTGTGCTGGCCCTCAACACTGCATCTGCCTCGCTCTTGATAGACATCTCCCTTAGTCTTTGCAAGGTCTAAAATTAACCTCAGTGGGGAGCTTGCAGCTCTGCCATTGGAGGGCAGCCCTGGCTAACACTATCAGAGGCCATAAGCCGAGCAGCAGGCCATTCCTGCCATCGTTCCCCCCTGCCCCACCCACACCCCTTCCACCTGCTTGCTTGGAAGCAGGCTGGGGAAGGGCTGTTATGGCAGGCGGACCACAGCCTGTTTCCTGTGGTCTTTCTTCTGTGGAGCCCTACATAGATGACATACACCCCAGTTCCAGGCAGCCCTCCCCATCCCTCCTGCTCTGTTCTGCTGGTTTGTTTAGTATCGAGAGTTCTGTCTCTGGGAAAATTCCAACCAAGGATTATATAAGCCTTTGGAGATGGCTAATGGTGACCTAGTTTCTCCACGGGGGTTAAAGATGACTCACAAGGAGTGTCAAGGGAGCTACTAGGCAGGTGATTCAGGAGATACCAGCAGCTGAGATTAGTCTACGGCTGCCACTCTTTAGGGAGAGACTGGAGTAGGTGGATAGATTTTGATTTCCGAAGGTAAGATGAGCAGACAGCCATGCTCTTGGCTGGCTGTTCTGGAAGTGGCATTTTGCACATGATGGCCCTACTTGCAGAAGAGGTCCCATACACTGAGTGACACCAGGGGCACAAACTGTTTAGAAGTCAGGCTTTTATTAGCTGTACCTCAAAGCAAATGGCAGTAGACAATTGAAACAACAGAGGGTGGCCCTGAGGACTCCAGCCCAACCACTGCAGGGGGCACATGGCTCCTGGGTTCTCACTAGTTTCTCTGGTAGATGCTTTTCTATAACTCACTGAGCTTCAGAGCCAGTGTACCAGCCCTGGGCTAGCTCTGCAGATGCCAAACAAGGAAGAGGAGAGGAAGAGATCTAGAGGCTGACACTTGGTGACCTGAAGTATAGCGGCTACAAAGCACAACGACAAAGGGGTTGGAGAGCCCTTTCTAGCAGCCAAGCCAGCCTGTAATTGCCAGAACTGAGCAGCGCCAGGAGATGAGGTGGGTAGCTTGCTACTCAGAGGGGCAGCCCAGGGGTGAGGCAGGAAGCTATAAATAGCAAGGCTCGAGGAGGCTCTATAAACAGAGACTGCCACAGCACCCAGCCCCAGGGAAGCGAGCAGCAGGAAACATATGGCACTCTGAGAAGCCACACTGCCCAGCTCCTGACCATGGGAGAAGATCTATGTGAACCCATACAGGAAGGGACACACAACCACAAACACCATGATGCATGCTGCCCATTCTCCATCGTGGAAGCTGGTTGTTGCCTTTATACATTTACTGAGGATTCATACCTAGGCCTGGGGACAACACTAGCAGCATAGGTGATGGCAGCTTCATCACTCCGGCTCTGCGAGGCTTCTCCCTTGAGGGATCAAGGCACTGCCTCCAATCTCAAGCCAAGAGACCAGCAATGTTGCCAGGCAGTAGTGGTGTGCTTCTTCAATCTCAAGAGGCAGAGGCAAGCTGACCTCTGAGTTTGAGGCCAGCCTGGTCTACAGAGCAAGTTCCAGGACAGCCAGGAATACACAGGGAAACCCTGTCTTGCACCCCGCACCCCAGCCCCTCCACAATGTAAAGGAAAATAAAGCTACCGTTGGAACGGGCCAGAAAGAGCTGTGGACATACTTCCCTCTGGTTGTGTCCACCAGAAGATGGTGGATTTGACATGATCCCTAACTATGACATTGTTCCAGTCTTTAGGGACTCTGCAGCCTGCCACTGACCGTGCTCACACTTGACCTCCAGTCTCAGATGGGAAGGCAAATATGAAGCCAGTGTCTCCACGCTCTTCTTGTTCTCTGTCTACATTGCTGTGCCTGCCTGCGAGTGTGTCCTTTGATGACCTTTATAGGCATCCTAGTGGCACCTGCCAGGACCCTGGAGAGCCTTCTTGGCCTGGGGCCCTCATGAAGGCTGTGGCTACACTTTCACAGAATGTTAAAAGCTTTCTTTTTTAAAAGCCCACTAAAAATGATCCTACAGAGCTGTAGAATGTAGCTCCGTCCCAAGTCCTGCCTTCAGTCCCAGCGCAGGGATGTACATATGGTATGGTGGTGCATGCCAGAGAAACGGGGGCAGGAAGATAAGAAGTTCAAGGCCATCCCTGGTTACATAGCAAGTTTGGGGTCAGCCTGGATCACATGGAACCCCACCTTTAAAAGAATGAAAACAGAATCCATACCTTTAACACATGAGCACTTTTAAAACTCAGTGCGGCACTTTGACATAAATAGGACTATAGAAATTGCAGAAGGAGAATTACAGTTGGAGAGTTACAGGGGTGGAGAGGAAAGGCTCACTTGGCCAAGAAAATATTAAGAAACAATCCTGTTAGCAAATCAGGAGAACCCAACCTGTGGTCCAGAGGCCAGGAATAAGAGACTATGAGGAGAGACACTGAAGATCTGTGAGTGCTCACTCCACATCCCTTGACTTTCCCGGACTCCCCATTCCCTTCTCAGCATAGGGACCAGCCCATCGGAAGCATACACACACAGCACACAGTGGCAGCTAGCTGATGAAGGGGTTTGAATTTACACGACCCTGATGAGATCAGGGTGCTTCCACTAAGATGGGTTATGCTACCTGATCACCGGGACCTTTCCAGCCTGTGACTTGATTACCACTGGAATCTGTAACTTTTCCTGAAATGTCATCTAAGAATGGATATCAAATACAGATTTCTCTGACACTTAAGAGCCACATTCCAGGCTAGCAAGGTGAACTGCTATCTGCTTAGCAGCAGAGTAGGCTGGAGGTGTGCGCAACCTCACATTCCAGAGGCCAGGAAACGGAGGCTGACAATGGGGAGCCAGCGTTCTGCAGTCAGGGCAGGTAAGGGGTGGCCTCAGGCACAGGGCCAGGGTGTCTGAAAATGTTTGCTTGGCAGTATCTCTTGGATCTTTAAAAACAGGTACAAAGGAAAAAAAGACGGTGTTAAATTTCCTAAGGCTCTCAGAAAGGCTATGACAGGGATCTGGAATTCTTATCACTACACCATGAATCTACTGTGGATCTCGGGATGGGTTCTTTCTTGTGGGAAATGCTACTGTCTCCAAAGTGGGGGAATTCTCATTTGCTTAGAAGGCAATGATATCTTCAGAAAGCCAGAGCTCTGAGCCAGCTGGAAACCTAGTCACAGGCACAAGACAGGTGGGGAGCAGTCCCTAGTAGTGTCACTGGAGGAACTGCCATGTCGAGTCACTTTCTGTGCGTGTGTGACAGAGCAGCACCCTGACAGAAGACAAGCAGATTCTGGTGTACCACCTCTTGGCTCAGTGTGATTCTGGCCAGATGTGGGACCTGGACAGACACATTGGTCTCAAGTTGTGAGGATGGGGAGACATCTTGATTTCAGGTCAGCTATAAAGATGAGAAAAGGAAAGGAAAGACACCAGGTAGTGGGCCAGAGTCAGGCCCAAGCAAGGCAAAGACCTATCGTAATTAAGTTGACATTGCTCAGTGAGCCCTACTAAGCTACATCAGCCCCGCCTTTCTCTCTGTGGCCGCCTAGTAGGCAGGTAGAGTGATGTAATGTGGTACTGTGGTTTTATTTTAAGGCCAAGCCACTCGAGGGTGGGCCAAACTTTCCAGAATGCACCCTATTATTATCGAAGACCTGGACAGAAAAAAAAAAAAAAGTTTACAACTGGGTGCTGTTTAGCTCCATCCTGGATAAGCTGGCCCAGGCAACCTCACCTACAGAGTCATGGGAATGATTCCTGCAGGAGAAACATCTCCAGCAGGAGTTGTTATTGGGTCCATTCTCATCTCCTCGGTCCTGACAGTATGTGAGAACTTGCTTGTCCTTGAAGCATACCTCTGCACTGGCTCACACATATGCATGGCTGCATGTGTACATGCATGTGCATGTGAAGTTAACCACACACTTAGTTTTGAAAGGGATGCTCCAAGGGCAGTGCTATGCCGGCATTAGTGCTTCCTATGGCCTGGGACGTAAATGAGAAGGTTAAATTCACAAACTATGGTGCTGTATGCTATAGAAATATCTACTCACAACCTGCTTGTATCTCAGGGGGAGAATTCAAAAGCATCATGGCACTGGCAGCATCAATGTCAGGATCTGGAAAAATCAACCAATAAATAACATTATTTACAACGGGGCTGGTGTGTGCGTGTTTTTTTTCCCCCTGCAAGTTACAGCTTATGAATGTGACAGAGAAAAAAAAAAAAAAACATCCAGATGAGGGACCGCAGAAGCGACTGTCACACCATTCGGACTTGAGAGAGAGAAAAAAAGTTTTTCTAGAATGAGATTCAAGGAACATGCTACTACTTTCTTCTTCTTTTTGGAGATCTATGATCGTGTCTTCCTCTTGCTTTGTTAATGTTGGGGTCTGTGCTGTGGGTGTCCGATAAGCTGAGGGTCTGGGCGCCCTCGGGTTTTACCCTGGGGTGGAGAAGTAGGTGAGCCAGTAACAACAGGAAGGTCAGCCTGGGAATCTCTAATGCTGGGGGGGGGGGGGGGAGAGGAACTCACAGCATCACCGCGAAGAGAAAGCTCTGAAAACACCTGCATCCAGACAGATACAAGCAAGGCATTCGGTCATTTCCATTCGTCAGCAGAATGGAAATCGTATTTTACGACGGTATGTATGTGTGCACACAGCGGTGTTGGAGGTGATGAAGGCATTTAAAAAAAAGAACACATAAAGTATAGAGAAAGGAACTGAGGAAGTTCTGCTGCTGAAGGCACAGTGCTTAAGTTCTCATCTATTATTGCTTTTAATCTGCTCCCCCCCACCCGACCGCACATCACTTTATTGCTATAATTCTTAATAGGTTTCTGAATCCTTACCAATCCACCGGTTGACAGATGGCAGGTTATATAGAGACAGAGAAAAATATTATCCCTTTATAACTAAATTCATTTCCCTCTGAGAAACAGCAGTGCTGCTGCTATGGAAATGAAGGTCACCATGGCAACGGTAAACAACCCCCAAGAATGGTCACTGAATAGGCTGAAAAGAACATCTGCCCCAGCCCAGCGTCCCAGCTGCCCTGGGGCGAAATTCACTAATAGTGCAGTGAGGCCTTGTGACAGAAGCTGCCGCCTGTCCCCTGTCCAAATAAATGAAGTGTGCAATTGAAGCCGACATCAAAATGCCTGCCTTGCAGATTACTGCCTCCGTGTCCGCTAAACCCAGTAACTAATGACTGGGGAGAGGGGCCTCGTACTTGTCAGTTTTTGTACAAATTACATACCAAAAAATTCAATTTACTACTAATGGCTCCATGGCACTTTATTTTGGGTATTATGCGAGAAAATTACTTTTTTTTACTGTTTAAAAAAAAGTACATTTTTCATACTTTATATGTGCAGTTTAATTCCAAGGGAGTACTGCAACGCATGATAAAGCCCCACAAGCGATTATAATACGGATGATGCTGGTTTCAGAAGACAATGCTGCAGGGAAAAAAAAAGTAAAAAGGTAAAGAACCTTCACTCTGCCCTTTTCTATTTTGCCTGCAGGAGGCCTGTTACCTACATGCCAAAAAGGAGCAAGAGTTTATTTTAATAAGTGCATTGTATGAAAAACGGGCAAATTAGCTTCTTTGGCAACTCCTGGGGTGACACTGCTCAAACAGTCAATTGCTCCCCACTGATACATGGTCAATGATTCACAGAAAAACTTCAAGTTCCACTCTGCTCCCGGGTCCCCTATTGTCCAGCAGTGGAGTCCTTGGTCCCCAAGGGTGGCTAGGGACAAGCTTTGAGGCGGTCCCTCTTGGCTTTCAGGGAGGAGTCCGAATATGTGCCTCTTCTCCTCACTGACTTCTTTTAAGTTTCAAGTGCAACAGGTGGCCCTGGCTATGTGGTCTCTGTCTCCCCCGAGGTGCGGTGCGGTCCCCTGAGTAACAGGAAACTCAGAGGTGAACTTAGCAGCTAAAAAGAAAGTTCCACATTCCTTCTCAGGGGGAAGTCCGGGATCACAGACAAGCGCAGCCTTAATGAAAGGAAGAAAGAGAGCCTGAGAAGCAAAGAGTGGCATCAGTCAGCTCTTACAGGAATCTAGGAGAGCATAAACCTGAGGGTCTATACCCAGCATCTCCCCGTGACTCGCCACCCACCCAAACCAAGTCAAACAAACATGCCTGAGTTGGAAAATAGAGGATGCTGCCTCCCCTCCCCCGCTTCCCTTTGAGCAGACGTACCACCTCTGATGCCCCATGGATGAAGATGCAGATGCTCTCAGAGAACCTAGGCCCCATCTCCTCTCTCTTTTGGAATTCTGGGGGAATGTAACAGGCAGACTTCTCATGATCTAACATTTATGTGTGTGCACGAGTTGGTAGTATCTGCAATTTAGGCATCCATTGAGGGTCTTGGAATGAATCTCCTGCTGAAAAGGGGAGACTCCCATGTCTAAAAAATAGTTGGCTGTCGCCTAATTTCTCTTCACGTAATAATATATCTTAGCAGCCTTTTGCAAATATTATAAGATGAGAATGGAATTGCCTGGAGCTGAGGCTCCGCCCCACAGATCCCGGGCATGTTTACAGGCTGTTTACATGTTTACAGCGTGTTTACATGCTGCCTCTGCACACCGCTTCCCATCACCCGTATCCAGCATGGCTCCTTATGGCATTCCTGTGCCTTTTACAATGGCCAGTCACTATTCTATCCACTATTCTATCCACCTCAGCTTCTCTGGGGATCATTTCATTGCTCCCCTTGGATGACAGGCTGTCTTACTGAGTCCACTTAGGGCCTTCATAGGTTTCCCCTCTCGTTTGCATTCAATAAAATCAACTACCTGAAGCTGAGATACTTTGTGATGTACCCATTTGGGGTGAGCTGGAAACATTTTAGAGGACTGGAGAGCTGTTTTGGAGTCTGGGGATATGTCTCCAAAGGTGCTCCAGAGGAACACTGATTCCACAGGAAGTGAGCCAAGGAAGGGGTGAAGCGGGTAGGCTGTGGAGGAGGTTTCCTTGGTTGCTGAAGGTGAGGTGAGGGGGTTCCCACCGTGGTTCAGTGAGGTTGATCAGTCTAAGAAAAGATGGTGTTTTGTCTGAGACTCACAAAGACCTCCGTAAAAGGAATTAATACTCCTGTTGTAATCTGGGAAGGCATAGCAAGGCAGAGAGGTTCAGCAGAATAAAACAGCAAGACAGTCTATTTTGGGATAATGGATCCTCTCTGATAGTCCCGAACTGGAATCCTGGTACAGTAAGCCGAGTTATTTACTACAGGTGCTAGGTCTGACCATCATCCACGCAGACCCAATCTCTAATCCTGTACTGAGAGAGTCCTTGACCATGCTTTGGCAACAGCATGACTTCTCTGAACGTTCCCAGAGGTCCATGCCAACTTCGATATTTGATATGGTCATTTTCATCAGGATGCAGCTGCTTCTGGGAGGGGTGGGGGCTTTCCTCTGTGGGCAGGATGGGAAAAGCACTAGATAGACCAGACAGGGGGATTGCTAGGTTCAAGCCCTGGATCCACTGCTAGTTAACATGGGAGTTTCATGCCGCTGGGCCTGACCTCACTCATTTTAAAATGGTGTGGGTGGCTGCAGACAGGAGAGGAGCCAGAGTCTACGCCAGTTTCCACAGCTTTCTAGCTTTCTGTAATGTCACCTGACATCTTTTTTCCTTTCTGACTCATGGCTGACAGAACTATGGACTCCAAGCAACACCTTCCAGATGGGACATCCGCTCCAAAGCGTCTGGAGGTAGAGGACAGTCTTACAAAAGCTAGGAGAATATACCACTCTCTACAAAGCCTTGTCCTGTTGGGTAGGCATTTGGTGGGTTCTTGGTGTGACTCCTGTTGGGTACCAGACAGAAGTGTCTAGAATGGCCAGGTGTTTAAGCAACCTTAGAATATAAAGGCCAACAGAAGGCTTGGTCCTCACTCAAAAAAAAAAAAAAAAAAAAAAAAAAAAGCAGCTTAGAGCCGGCAGGTCTAACATTTTCGAAGATGGAAACCTGGAGAATTCTGGAAATCATTTGATCTTCCATGCAGTGAATGTGTTCCCCTTCCCCACTCCTCCTTACACTTCAAGCAATTTACACAGTGATATAACATCATATGATTGATCAAAAGACAGTATGTGTGGGGAAAATGTTGCATGCTGGATATAATTGTGCAGGTACGGCCAATCAGAAGTACGCACTGGCATCCTCTCCTATGCCTATCTACAAAGCACATGGGCCATTAAGACTCTTCCTTGCCTAGCTCACTTGCTGATTACGATGGTGCTTGGGACCTATCAGTGTGGAGAAAGCACACACTGGATAAATGAAGGGAGTCGGTAGTGTGGTCGGCTCTGGTGGCATCATTTGCCACCAGTGACGTCGTTTGCCACCACTACTTCTACTTCCCCTCCGCCTGAGTGCTGTGAAGTTAGAAGCACTGGGGAAGAACCAGGAACAAGAGAAGAATCTACAGGAACAAGAGAAGAATCTACAGGAACAAGAGAAGAATCTACAGGAACGGGAATGGAGGAATTCTCGTCAGAGCTATGGGGTGAAGGGTAGGGAAGGCAGATCATCAGGTTTTGGAAGGATACAAAGCCTCCTAACAAAGGCTGATGCCAGGGTGTAACGTCAATCTCTGCCTTCATGATGGGATGGGCACAGAGCACACCAGGAATGCATCAAAAGAAAGGACTCAGGGTCGGCTGGGCTGGTGACACAGGTCTCTAGCCCCAGCAAGGGCACTTTAGACCCTTTGGATAATAGTGTGGCATGCACACATACTACCACTATCCTGGTACTTGGGAACAGACGCACGGGGACTGCCAGTGAGTCTGAGGCCGCCATGAGCTACACAGAAAACTCCAGGCCAGCCATTGCTGCATAGTGACATCTTGACTGAAAAGAAAGTATTCTGAAGGCATGGGAAGTGGAGGAGGGATTGTTTAGAGGAGAAAAATGTTAGCTGAGCAAGCCCCATGACCTGAGTTTGAATCCCGTAGCCCGGAAAAAGCTTGACATGGCCTGCACCTGTAATCCCAGTACTCCTATGGGGGAGACGGGAGGCAGAGACAGAAGAAAGATCTAGAAGCTCAAGGGACAAACTAGCCTTTCCTCAGCAAGCTGGAGGGAGAG